AGCACCAATACAGCCGAAATCAAAATTATATACAATATAAACCAGCATCACAATGAAAACCAATACTGTAAGACACTTTCTAATGCAATATACTAATCAAAAGAAACAATTTTAATACTAGCAGAGCTATCGTATAATTCTAGAGCATTGTACTGTAGATAGCCTGCAATGCTTTAATCTGAATTATTACTTTCCGGATTCTAATGTCCCATCTTTTTCTCTCTGTAAAAATTATAGGTAGCTTCCCTTCAAGGTTCCTTTTTTCTACCAGTTTGGCTATATATACTAGATCTGAATAGCAGCTAGGAAGACAAGTTCTAATGGAAGCACTATTTTTAAGAAACACGTCTAAGTGGCCAGTTCTGTCTCTATACAGACATTTATGTCTCTGGCTGAAAGGCAGGGAAAAAAACCTCAGTTTTTCTTTTGGGCTGAGAGAGAGTCAGGAAAAAGAATCACAGTTCCTGAGGTCGCCTTTAAATTCTCTTTTGATGCAATGCTAATTTAAACCCAGATTGTCCTGTTGCAAAAAAAAAAAAAGGGGGTTTCAAAGGTTACAACTGAAAGTGATTTGCATTTGAGGAGCATCAGAAATGGCTAGATGTACAAGTCATCTTTTGTGTAGATCTACATAAAACGGTTTTTACTTCCAAGTGATTTCTTCTACTATCTGCAAATGCAAGGCCTGGGTAAATTTTCAAGGAGGCCATCCCGTGGCTGACATAAAACTTTACGCCTGAAGAAACTCCAATGAAACTATTTTCATGGGGGGAAAGGAAGTGAAATAACAGAGACTAGTCTCAGTCTCTTTGAACAGGCAAAGACTCTGATACGAATGTTGTTTTAAAATCTTGACTACCTTCTCTGTCCCACAGCACATTGGGGAGATAAAATACAAAGCCAAGGTAAAGCGATGTTGACTGCAACACAAAATTGTCTTGCAAAATCTGTTATTGATTGAAGTGTTCTTTAAACCATTCATTATGTGCCATCAAGTCAGGGTCGACTCTTAGCAACCACACTGATAGAGTTTCTTCAGGACAATCTCTCCCTAACCTCGTCCTTCAGATCTTCAGATGATGCGCCCATTGCCCCTGTGACTGATCTAGTATTTACTAAATGATTATCTAAAATATATTTATCATACATGGATGTCATTTCTTGTATTTCTATGGCACTTCATTACTGAGTCAGTAATCACAATAATACATTTAAATCCATAAATAAATGCATATAAACCTACCATCCTCATTCTAGTATTGTTAAATTTAAGATGTCTTTAATCAGGATGCATAATTCCCAGCCAGCACAGCTGAAAACCATAAGGGCTAAGAATTATGGGAGCTGGTCCAATGTATTTGGAAGGCATTATGTTGGAAAAGGCTAAAATAAAGCACCTAAGAAACCGTCCTACGGTTACTAACTTATTCATTGCAATGTTTCGCTGCAAATTTTTTACTATGATATAACTGCTTCTACCAATGGTTAAAGAACTGCATAAGTGTCTTTAAATTTTCTGTACAGTGCTTGTATACATTTTTACAAGATAAAATTAGTTCAAATTACAGGTAGTCCTCAACTTATGACCACAATTGGGACAGGAACTTCTGTCACTAAGCAAAGTGATCATTAAGTGAGTTGTGCCCGATTTTACGAATTTTGCCATGGTCGTTACGTGAATCCTGCAGTCATTAAGTGGATCCTGCAGTCATTAAACAAATCCAGCTTCCCCCATTGACTTTGCTTGTGGGAAGCCCCCCGGGAAGATTGCAAATGGCAATCGCGTGATCCCAGGACATTGCAACCATTGTAAATATATGCAGGTTGCCAAGCACCCAATCATGTGACTGTGGGGACACTGCGACGGTTGTAAGTGCAAGGACTGGTCGTAAGTCACCTTTTTCAACAATGTCATAACTTTGAACAGTCGTTAAACGAATGGTTGTAAGTCAAGGACTACCTGTAACTAGAAAGAAACTCTATCTAATTCACTATTCAGTTTCTCTCATATATAAGCAAAATTTCATTTCTCCTTTGAGAATAACATGATTTAAAAAAAAAAAATCAGTTCCATATTTTCAAATAAGTTTTTAAAGATTTTAGCAGAAAAAGCCATACCATTGGAAGTGACAATATATTAATGATTTACTTGGTTCTGGGCTTGCCATTTTGAATCTCTATCCTGGATTTATGATGTAATCTTTTTCTGCTGCATTATCCACACAGTCTGATGCTCAGATGTGTGGTCTATTCATCTTCTGTGAGCCTAGTAGGTACCATCCATCACTGAAACCTGTGGAATAGTAAGCCCCGTGCTAACGATTATGCCAGTGAAGTACCTACACACTCAGCTTTATAGTGGTTTGCAGGGTTGGACAGCAAACAGACAGTTTAGTAGGAACTAGATAGCAGAGCTTAGGCCAAAGAACAAATCACTGCCTCAGTGCTGAGCTGAATGAGAGCTAATATACCCCTATGTATAAAACTGGATTTCATCTCCCAGGAAAGGATATCTACAGATAGAGGGACACTTTCTTTCCCCCCAAAGACATATATTTCAATAACTGCAAGAGTTCATCCTAGCATCTCTGGGACTGGCATGATGGTGACCCTGAGGCACAACGTGATTCTGGGAAGAAATCATTTTATCAAAGGACACGAGCAAGAGAACAATCCAATAGAGAGAAGCTCATTATCTGAGAGGACGAAGGACAGTGGTGTCTCTTCTCCCTCTCAAAAAAGCTCTGCTATTGCAGTTACCTCTATGCTCCTAAGAGAGGATCTCCCTCAAGTTGGCTATGTTCAGGATTTTTCTTCTCATGAAAAACTGACTGTGTCTGAATTCACGTGTTGCTTTATAAAAGATGTCTTATTTACTGGGAGAGCAATGCCAGAGTGGTGGTACTACAGAAATTTGGGTGGAGGAACTGGCACACCCAATGCCCTGCCCATTCATATTGGTGAGAGAGTGTCAGATCCAAAGTCACCCAGTGAGGTCCATGGCTGAAGGTGGACATGGAGAACTGAACACAGCTCCAGGTAACAGGTGTGGAAGGAATTCACAACGGAGTTTATATTCCCCAACATCATTCATCAGCCCAAGTAGGATCATTCAACCTTGTTGACTTAAAATGCAGTTGGGATGAATAGCAAATTGATAACTTGATTCAGTCCTGTTGAATGACTTGTAAAATTAACTTGTAAAAACTCTAGGCTGCCAGAGAATAAAGTTCCACTTACGTTTATATTCTTTGAGTCCTCTCACAGATGTCTTTACACAATGTTGTTTTTTTGTAATCTAAATGTACCTGAAGAGATGTGGCTTCACAGAGCAAGTCAAACAGTAATTTACCCAACATATAATGTCCTATTTTCATGAACAAAAGAGGAGCCTCAACAATGTATAGAACCTGAAGAAACTATTAAATGGTGGGAGCATCTAGTTGACTTTGGGCTCAGAACCCCAGTATACTCAGGTAAGGTTAGCACTTGGATAGGAAACCTCCAGGTACTCCTAGGGTTGTAAGCTAGGCTGAGTAGTTGGCAGAAACATCCCCAAAGAAGGAAATGGCAAATAACTTCTATACTGTTGCTAAGAAAACTATATGGATGTGTCCATCACATCACCTGGAGTTCAGCTTGGCTTGAAGGAGATTTCACTTTTTCACTTCGTCCACTAATGTGCCATGAGGAACATGGCATTTTTATATGCCACCTACCAAAATTACATTACATTACACTCTAATATTAATTTGTTAATATCTTAATTCTTATTCTTATTGTCAATAAGAATATCAATAAGATATCTTATTGTTAATATCTTAATTCTTATTCACCTGAAATGACCCATTCCTCTTCTGTAAGAATCTCTTTTCCACTTAAGTCTATAATTGCCTCATATGTCATCACTCTCTTAAAGCTCTAACTTTCCTTCCATTGCTCCACTGAATACTCTGCATGGCATTCTTAACTAAGTGATTCTAAGTCCACGCACTTGGCTTCCCAATCTTTTGATGTGAGTTCCCAATAGCCAACTCCTACTGACCTGGCTCACATACTGTATTAAGTCAAGGCATGTTTAACCATGGTCAACGGGAATACATCATAACTGTCTTGGTTCATAGAACACACTGAGACACAAACAAGCAAATCACACTGTAACTTAGCATGATGCATGAATTCACCATTGTCTTCCTGTAGAGTAGAACAGTTCTACCCTACGACTAGGTAGGTGCATTTATAGAATCTATTTTATTGTTGTTTTATCCCAATGTTAAGATCCATCAATTGGTGCCTGGTGCTAAAGCCACACACAAAGTTTCTGTTTGTTTTTGTTTTAAATCTGAGTGCAGGAATTTGCTTTGGAGATCAAAACTAATTGGAACTCATGTTCTATTTACACAAAAATCCATTCCTGGTTACCCCAAGTTTTTTTTTTTAAACATTACGATGATAATATAAGTGACGAGGAGACATTTTGTTGCTTCTTTGAAAAAGCACTGGAAGTCATAAATCTCTGCCAACCACTGCAAACCACCCATACAGTACATCTCCCTTAGCATTAGCACATTTGAGGTAAATTTCTCCCTTATCATTTATGTTCTGGAACAGGTTTTTCCATGACCACTGAGGAGCTTGCAGATGCATTTGGAGACACACGTCCCAAGTAAATTTGGTAACATTGGAGTTAAAGGAAAACAAAGAACAAAATGGAACTAGAACAGCATTATGGGTTATGGGCTCTATCCCTTCATGGCTTCCACGTCTAGAAGTTCCACGTCTAGAAAGAAAATGAAAGCAAAGACAACTCTATTGAAAATGACTGTGAACAAACAAGTAGCAATTTTCTGTAGCAAGGATGTGGGAAGACTAGTAGAAGCATCTGGGAACGCTCAAGACATGTTGGTTCAGTTTAGACAAGACCACACTGTCACCTCTGATTTAATTTAAAGAGTATTTTAGAGATGCTAAAAGCTTGAAGCTCAAAATCAGGTACTTACATAATCGTCATGGTTGATTCCTTGTTTCTGAACAGAACTTTTCACTTCCATAGAAAACTTTTCAAACTCGGGTTTCACTGTCCTCAGTAGTGTGACTGTTTGGAGAGATGAGTATGCTTGCTTCGCTTCAAGATCATATTTGTCTCCTCTCCTCCATGAGCCATTTCCTAAGGAAGAAATAAAAATATTTACAATTCCAAGCCAAGGACTATAAACAGCTTGTTTTCCTCTTTTCCTACTGCTGTATTTTCCCATGTGTTGCTGGGTAAACAAAAAATACTTGATAACACAATGTATCTCGGACAGCATTAGGAGACTCATTTCAGATGAAGGCTTGACTTTGCTCCAAGTGAGTCTTTGCAGGCTGCAAAGTAGATGGGACCACTTCAGGGCCCCCAAAGAGCTTTCCCTGCAGTCACGCAGAGAATCCATTCACAAAGACCCCTTCTGCACAAATAAATTCTAGAATATACCCCTCCTCAGTGGCATTTAAGCTTTTTTTTTTTTTTTTAATCTCCTTCTGATACCAATGGAGGCTATTTTAAAGTCTGATTCCAGTGTGCATGTAGGAAGGGGTGATGTTTCAAGGGGTTTGAACCATTACCTCTTCTCTTGCCTTCGAAAATGTCCCATCCCCTGACAATTAGTCTTTAAAACCCTTTCTACTGACATCAGCGGGAAAGGTGTTGCAGACCAGGGGGGGGGGGGGGGGGGGATATTATCAGTTCTGTTAGTTGTACAGAGAAGAACTTTTTTTTCCTTTCTAGCTTTAGTAAATGGGATAGGATTTAGCAAAGATGGACAGAGAAGTGCCTAGATGGGGAACTCTGTTGTATGGACTTCAGCCTGTGGGCCAGAGACTCCCTGTTCTTGCTCTAGGAGCACAATCTATCTACATTTAAACATATTTTAATTATATTAACATGAGTAGGTGCATCTTCAGTCCATCTCAATGCAATTCAAAGGTTTTGCATGTTCCTTAACTGTAGTTGCCTCCCATATGATAAATTAATATGGGTTCTTGAAATAAAGAGTTATACTAAAAAGGAATTACATTTACAAAATTACAAAAGAGAAAGATAATTATTTGCAGGAAATTCAGGATGAAAAGAAAAAGAGTGCAGAGGAACATATCCTTTGGATCTAGAAAAGTACTTCTATCAAAAGCAACAAATGATAGTATCATGTAATAATAGGCCCTGTCAGAATTCCAGGACAAAACTTCTGTGCTTCTGACTTGTAACTCTGGTTTTTACCTTCTGAAATTGCTCTAATTCACAAGAAAAAGTAGAGAAGAAAACAGGAAAGAAATGAATCCATCTTTCTATCTTCAATCTAGTGGAAAATCCATGTGTAAGTCCTACATTAAGGAAAATAAAGTACAGGATTGATCTGAAGACAGTGGGTGGCTATGCATTGCCAAAAAAAAAAAAGAAGAAGAATTCAAAAACAAACAGGAAAGAGACTTTGAGTTTAATATGGGGATGAAGTGTTCTTTTTTTAAAAAAATTAAAAAGCAAAGAGTAAAGGTCATACTGTCTCTTTAATACTTTTGGACATAAACCTCCAGACACACCTAAAAATACAAAGATTCAAATGTCAAAACAGAATGAACAACTGTGGTTGTAATCAGGAGGCCAGGTATGAAAAACACTCATTTGTTCCTGTTGCCAAAGTATTATCCCATCCAGGTCAAGTGAGGACTAGGGAGACAGAGAAGTATCCGGGAGATGGAGTATTTGTTTTATTATGAAGTCAGGGATAATCCTTTGCTTTCCTCCTAGTTCCAAATACACAGTTGGGGAAAAAAATTAAGATATTTCCTCACAGGTGCACTGTACTTCTGAGGACCACTAAACTTTTTTGTCCTCTCTTTGTCCCACTCAAGCTGAAAAAGAAAGTTGGGTCTCTGATACATCCACCAAAGAATGTTGAAATTTTACCACACCACTTCCACTGGCCATGACAGAATGTCAACATTCTTTGAAATGGCATGTTCAAAAAAGTTTAGTGGTCCTCCAAAGTACAGTGCTCCATGTTTTATAGGCAGCGCTGCCTCTGCCCATCCTGGCTCTCCTTGATCTCTCAGTGGCCTTTGATACCATCAACCATGGTATCTTTCTAGACTGGCTGAGGGAACTAGAAATGGAGGACATTGTTTTACAGTGGTTCTCCTCCTTCCTCTGAGGCAGGTTCTTTGTCCCTGAAGACCATCCAGAAGCTATAGCTGGTCCAGAAACACTACATGGCATAGGACCAGGTTACTTGTGGGATCTCCTTCTCCCAGGAACATCTGCCTGTCCCACATGCTCCCACAGAGAAGACATGCTACAGGATCCCTCTTTTAGACTGTGCCATCTCATGGCACCTAGTGCCTTGCCTTTTCAGTGGCTGTCCCTGTGCTCTGGAATGATCTTGCCTCTGATACATCACAGGCCCCAACTGTGTTTGCTTTTAGAAAAACTGTTAAGACCTGGCTTTTTCTCCAGGTGTTTGGATCCGGTTGAGTGCAGTCCCCTTTTGGTTGCTTAATTATCATGTTTGGTCATCATTTTATATTTTAGCTAGGTTTTTTAAAGTTATGTGGTTATTTTTTTGGTTTATTGTTTGCTTTTTGCTCTACACCACCCAGTGTCACATTGTTTGAGTTGGGTGGCCCTATAATCCATCAAATACATAATTAAAGTAATTCTCCCCAGCAAAACCTGTCATGTGGTACAGGGTTCTGTCTTACATCAACTGCCAGAAATGGGCAGAGCCAGTACGGTTATTGCATAGTTTCTTTGATCTGGACCATTTCCTATTAAGGCAGAGGACCAGGCAGCAAAGCTCACAACCAACCAATAGGTCCTTGTACTGCAGAGGTATATGCTTTTTCTTGGCTTATTATGCACGGCTGTAGTCTAGACATGGAAGACCTTGCCAGCCATGTGAGAAATAAATATACAGCTATACAGAAAGCATAATTTCACTACCAGCATATTATGTACTCTTGTCTTGATGTGTTCCATGGATTTTTTGTTTGTTTTGGTGAATGACCATGATTGTGAATGACTAAGAGATACTACTTATGAAGGAAGATATACAAATGTTGAATGAATGAATGAATGAATGAATGAATGAATGAATGAATGAATGAATGAATGGTTAGATGCACTACTGCTGAAACAGTGTGCCATCCAAACTCATGAAATTGGTTGTTTCTAGTTACAGAATCACAGACCTATGCTGACACTTCAGCTTTTTATGGCTAACCATATTGCAACGGCCATTCTGCTACTATTCCTATTAAGTTCTGCCCATTCAGTCACTCAATAAAAAGCACGGACTCCAAAGCTTGCAAGACTATTTCCACAAATGTCTGCAAACTAAAAAATGCAGTCTATGTACAGTCAAAAAAACAAGCTTAAAAAGAGTAGCAATTTTAATCACTTGGCTGGGTGGGACAAAAGAGGCAAAAGTTGAAAAATATCAGCTGCATAATTTGGGAATACTCCTGGATCCAGCATTGCCAGATTATCCTGGTGGCACTAAGTGGTTTTTCCCCAGCGCGGCTGTTTGGCCAGGACCATAGGAACAGTATGGCCAATGATCTCGTAGCTTTTGGACTGGACTGCAGTAACATATGGCACGTAGAACTGCCTTGAAAAAGCTTATCTGTCAATGTGCAGCTGCAGAAATTTTGACAAGTATAGCTGGATGGGATTATATTACACTGATCCAAAGCCCAAATCAAAGTGCTGGATGTTTACCTCTAAAGCGCTATATGGATCAGGAGACAAAGAACAGAGGGCATGTTTTATATACTATTTTGTCCATCTCTTAAAATCTGTAGGGAAAGCTAAAGATGTTTATACTTTTTACTTTTTGGTGCCTTTGAGTCAGTTTTTGACTCCTAGCGACTGACAGGACTAGTCCCTGCAGTTTTCTTGGCAAGATTTCAGAAGTGGTTTGCCCTTGCCTCCTTCCTAGGGCTGAGAGAGAGGGACTGGCCCAAGGTCACCGGCTGGCTTCGTGCCTAAGGCAGGACTAGAACCCCCAGTCTCCCTGGTTCCTTGCCTGGTGCCTTCACCACCACACCAAACTGATTCAGCTTATACATATTATGTGACCATTAGCAAGAGAGCGCTCTTGGTTATGGGACGGTGTTATAGAACACCTGTCCTACAGAAGCATGACTCATGCAGTCTTTGCAATCATTTCAGCTTTGAGCAATGTGTTATTATTTGCCTGGACATTTTAAGAGGGTAGGTTGATACCAAACTGTATTTTCATTGCCACTTAATTTTATGATTATTTTTACAATGTAGTTCTGTGTGTGGTGTAGCTAGGCAATTTATTTATATATGTGCAAGGGCATACACACACACCCACACACATTATTGTGATGTATTTCAATGAAGGGTAGTTTATAAATATGATATAAATAAATAAATAAATAAATAAGCAAGCAAACTCGCTTCCTAGAAATAACTTTCAATGAAGCCAAACCCTAAAGCCAAACCTTGGCCGTTGTCCAATAAACAAACTTGCAAGAGCCACAAACCGCACACACACTTGCTTAGATGGCAAGCTTTTCCTGCATCTAAACATGCTACCTTGGGGAATTCCTGTGCAAGAAGCTCCACTATTTCAACTGAAGCTTTATTTGTTACGTGTCCAGGTCTCTTCTCAAACTGCACCACAGATGTCACACCACTGGAGCTTACTACCCAAAGAAGGAACTAGTAAAAATGAAACAAAACTAAAACCTTTAAACTATTTTTTCGCAGAACACTCAGCTAATTTCTTGTGGTACAAGTTAAGAAGTATGACCCAAACAAGAAACTGAATGGCAGAACAGTTAAATTCCCAGCCTGAAGTCAGCAAATATGAGAGAACAAATTGTGCTTTTCTGGTCAAGATTTTTATGAGTAGCCAGTGTTACTTTCAAAGGTTGCTTCATTACATACAAATACAGCCTTCCCCAACTTAGTGCCCTCCAGATGTGTTTGATTATGTTTTCCATTATTTCTGGGCATTAGCCATGCTGGCTGAGATGAGGGGAAGTTTATTGAAACACATCTTGAGATGCCAGCCTTGCAAGGTAGTCCAGACAAGAAGCCTACCCAGATGTACTAGCTTTTATTGCAAGGTTACATTAAAAAATACTGAAAGTCTGAAAGTACATCTTTACCCTCTCACCATTACAGTCCAAGAAACTAGGGAGGGTCCCTTCTGAGATGTTTGCCACTCCCCCATTCCTTCTGTGGGCTCAGCTGCCTCTTATCTGATCATCTCTTCCTCCTTTCTCCCAAGGTCATTCCCACAAACCATTGCAGGAGAAAATTGGGGGGAATTAATCCAGAACTACCCCTTGAGGCACAAATGACCAAGCTCAGACCTACGTAGTTTGGACACACTATGAGAAGATCCAGTTCCCTTGAGAAGTCCATAATGCTGGGAAGAGTGGAAGGAAAGAGATGAAGAGGACAACCAGCAGCAGAATGGATGAACTTGATTACAGCAGTGATGGGTGCCCATTGGAAGACCTGAAGGGCTAGGATGGGGCAGATCATCCTGGAGACACTCAATCTATGCAGTTGCTAACAATCGACACTGACTTGATAGCACTTAATTAACCAATCAGTATTAATTTGGGTCTCAGCAGGTGACAGCACCTGGCTTTCTCTTGGCTTGGAATCTATGCAGGATCAGGCCTGGTTAGCATCTGTAGAAGGAGACCATAATGAAATACCAGGACTATAGGCTAGACTGAAAAGTTGAAAGACAATCACAAATCACTAGCATATTGCTACCAAGCAAATGCGGAAATTGTGCCCATGTAATCACTATGATTTAAGCTTATCTGATGGGCTCTTTTACTTTTTATAACATCTTATAGTTCAAGAAGACCAAATGATGCCTCAGTGAGTCAGAGTATGATGCAGTGACTAGCATCACAGCAATGCATATTCAAAACCACACTGGCTCAGCTACAGAGCTCACAAACAATTGTTTATTGAACTGCTCAATTTTCTGAAAACAGCATGGGGACCAAATATGAACAAACCAAATTAACTTCACCTGCATTAATCATGGGTCTGCTTGCTTGTTTTTTTCCCCCCCAAATGTCATAATTCAAATAAATCCTGGGACGGCTTTTTTGAAGTTACAATGGCCTGCTTAAAGGTTGACACCATCACTAAAATGTTAGTGTGCTTAGAAAAATCTTGCAATCCTTTGGAAGAAAGAAATTACATTACCATATGATGAACTGTTGAAAAGTTCAATATTGAAGAAAGCATGGTCTCCACTAGTCATTCCTTGCCGATGTGCAGCCAACATGATGTTCCGTATTGCGTCACTGCTGGCACACATGATCACAACTGGTGGAAATAAATGGAAAACACAGATAAGAAGCCATTCCTCAAAGACCAGGAACAGACTGTCAAGTTTCTGAACAGCTGGAGACAATGACATAGATGGTCCTCTAGTGATTTTGTTTTTAAATCATGGCTATACAAAGGACATCAACAAGACGGGAATATTCAACAGTCCTGAATATCTGAAAAAACAGTCACTGAAAGGACAAGTTTCACCAACACTTTTACAGGATGGCAATTCCTAAGTCAACCAAGGTTAAGCACTTGATTTAATGTAAGCATGACGTCTAAAATAAAGACTAATAAAGACTAACGGTTCCAGAAATCCATATACTTTGGACCTGTGATATGAGCAGATGATGGACTAGAAAAATGATATGGCAAAGTTGGGTAAGAGGAAGAGGGAAAAGCAATGGATAAAGTGGGTGGACAAAACCAGGAATATCACTGGAATCTCTTTGAAGGAGCTGATCAGTGACAGGTCAAAATGGATGTCACTTGTCCATACAGTTATGAGGAGTTGAGCACAGATCTGACTAGTTATTTAAAGCATTTAAAGTGCTTAGCATAGGCTAGATAATGCTTAACAATACTCAGAAAAGCAGAAGTCTTATAATGATCAAAGACTCATAGCTGGACACAGACCCACATACCATTACACAAGTCCTAGTTCAGCACCTTAACCACCACATACTGGTTTTCATCTCCCTCTCTCTCTCTCACACACACACACATATACATGCTATGACATTACTTTTTTTTTTTTTAACTTACAGTCATGTGAAAAAGTAAGTACACCCTCTTTGAATTCTATGGTTTTACATATCAGGACATAATAAAAATCATCTGGTCCTTAGTAGTTCTC